TAAAATCCTCGACCGGTACGTCACAAACGGTACCCGGTTTCGTTGTCAATGCCGCGGATTTTTGGATCAACGTGTGCTGGATACTACTTTTACCTCAGATTACTGTGTTTGCAGCGTTTTATCTGTGTGAATTGTGCACCATTATTCTTCTTTTGGCGTATTTTCCAAGCGGTGCAAATTTGGGAGCTATTCTTTGGCTAATTCCGGAGATCTCACTGATTTGCCATACTACCATCTCTGTCCGCCATCTTAGATTTGCTCTAGCTTGTGATGCCGTCTCAAGCTACTTGTGGTTCGTGTTCGAAAGTTGTGGGAAATAAGGCTCATGCACTTCGATGCTACAGCTGTGATGTTTTGTTCCATATTTCGTGCATTGGCTTATCCGTTGACGTGTTTCGAAAATCGCTCGACATCCGACATCGGTTTTTTCAAGTTATATGTGATAAATGTCGCGGTACAAGACATCAGAATACGCAGCGACTGCAAACAACTACGGAAAAATCTCTCTTTCAGATAGGAACAAACCGTTCACCACGTGGGATCAAACGCCCTCGTGAAAGTACCTCTGTCACCTCGCCTTCTATTGTCACTCCGCGATCTGCACCACCACCAGCGTCTTCGACCCCGGCCGAACCCCAGGTTCAATGTTTCCCACCGATGGAAGACTCAGACTCAGAAGCTACGAAATGCCGCTTCACTGATCGGTCCGTGAATTTCTCAGAGCCTGTCTGTGAACTGCTGAACACCGAGGATCCATGGACCACTCAGAAGCGCAAGGGCCCACGTAATCGAGTTCAGACGTCACCTGCTGATAAACAACTACCCAATCAGTTAAGCGCCTCTAGTTCTGCTCCCACAGGTTCATCACTGATTTCGCTGAGGCGTCATAATCTCATGGTCTTCCACGTACCGGAGTCAAAAGATGAAAACCCTCAGATACGTTATGATCACGATGTTGAGTTCCTCCAGGGGCTCATCGATAGACTCTTGGATGTGGGCGAGGACAGTGTGACGATTAAACAAGTAATCCGACTTGGCCAGAAAACTAACCAGTCATGTCGACCTCTGAGGATCACCTTTGCAAATCCTAATATGCCGCAGCTCATACTGTCTCGTCTGTCAAGGCTGAAAGGCATAAAAGTTCACATCCGCCGAGATTTGGAACCCGAGGACAGGGATCGTTTGAAGACTGCGGTCATTGAGCTCAAACGCCGTACAGAGGAAGGTGAGACTGACTTACAAGTTGTAAATTTTCGGGTGATCAAGAAGGGTGTACGAACCCGTATCAATCGGTTGCTCAACCTCCAGGCACGTCCCGCAGTACCTCCCAGGACCTCCGTGTCGCATTCGCCAACGTGTGCAGCCTAATGAACAAACGTGACGAACTGTGCCGCTTCGCTGTCTCGGAGCGGCCGGACATTTTAGGACTTGCAGAGACATGGTTGAACTCCGACATCATACCCCAAGAAGTCGTGTTGTCAGGATACTCTTGTTTCCGATGTGACCGAAAATCAAAGGCTCACGGTGGTGTTCTGTTGTACATAAAATCGTCACTATCTGGCAAACGTATCAGTACCTATCGGAGCGAGGATAGTTTATGCGAGCAATTGTGGTGCACAATCCGTCTCAGGCGCGCAGAACTAATTGTGGGGGTTATCTATCGGAGCCCATTAAACCGTTGCTGCGATTGGATACCACATGTACAGAAGCACATGAGCCGCCCTCAGTTCTTACTGATGGGGGATCTAAATTTACCTAAGATATTCTGGCCAGACGTTCGGCTTCTTCCCGGTCATGGCAACGTTGAGGCTCAATTCGCTAAAATGACTATTGAAATTGGGGCAACGCAACATGTCATCCAACCGACGCGCGTAACTCCGTACTCGGCATCTTGTCTGGACCTAATGTTTACGAGCTGCGAGCAGAAGCTAAAAGAGATCAGAGTCATCGAACCTCTGGCGAACAGTGACCACTGCTCTATTGTAGCAAGCTTAGAACTGTCGTTACCATATTACAATCAACAGAAGCCGACATTCAACTATTGGAAGACGGACTTCAACGGACTCGTCCAAGCCGCAAGTCAGACTGATTGGACACTACCACATGATGCGTCACTTGAGGCGTGGTGGTCATTAATAAAGGGGAAGCTTAAATCGCTCTGTACTCGGTTCGTTCCCCTTAAGTATCCAAAAATCGGACCTGTCAAACCGCATTGGTTTGATAGGGAATACAGACAGTTAGCGCGACGACGTCGTAAACTTTGGGATAAATACATCAGCTCGGGTTGTGATGAAGATTACGCGGTGTACAAGAAACAGCGTAACTTATGTAACGCCGCAAAGATCAAGAAACGCCGGCAGTTCGAAGAGGAACTAGCATCCTCGGCCGCAACTGCACCCAAGCGAATATTTGCCTACTTGAAACGTCAACTGAAACCTGGAGACGACCTACCGGTCTTAGAGAGCTTAGACGGGAAGACACTCATTTCAAGCGCGGAGCGCGCGGACGCCCTGGCTACGCACTTCCTCACTGTATTTTCCAGTAAACCGGCGGCCGTTCCAGTACCAGCACAGGTTGCGCCAGTCTTGCTCGACAGCCTACAATGTGATGCAGTCGAAGTACATCAGCTACTCGTCAACCTCAATGGTGCAAAGCCCCCCGGGCCAGACGGACTTCACCCACTAATACTCAAGTCCCTATCGATTATCATCTCACCAGTTGTGACAAACCTTTTCAATAGATCGCTCTCTGAAGGATCCGTCCCGAACGACTGGAAATGCTCGATAGTTAAACCGCTTCCCAAGGGTGGTGATCAGAGTAAAACAGAGAACTATAGACCGATCTGTTTGACTTCGGTATTATCCAAAGTTCTCGAGAAGGTTGTGAAAAAATGTCTGCTGTCGTTCTTCGAATCGATGGACATATTGACGCCAGCGCAACACGGCTTTACGAAAGGGCGATCCTGCATCACCAACTTGATGTACGCAAACCACCAGTGGGTTCGAGCTCTCAATGAACAGAAGGATGTTGACGTGGTGTACATCGACTTTAGTAAGGCGTTTGATAGAGTGAACCACGAGGTACTCCTTCGTAAACTGAGGACATACGGAATCGGTGGCACGTTACTTCAGTGGATACAAGAGTTTATTGTGGGACGAAGGTTTAGAGTACAGGTCAATGACTATCTGACAGAATGGTTCCCATCGACCAGTGGCGTGCCTCAAGGAACTGTACTTGGGCCAGCATTATTTCTTATTCATATCAACGATCTTCCGCAGCAGCTCCAGTCACCATGTGTCCTGTTTGCAGATGATTTGAAAATCTGGAGGATCATTGAAAACCAGGACGACTGCGCTCGCCTCCAGCATGACTTAGAGCGACTGTCAACGTGGTCCACTGAAATGCAACTCCCTCTTAACGCAAGCAAGTCGGAGTTTATCAGTATCACCAGACGTCCAGCCACTCGATCATACACCTTGGACGGCCAGTTGCTCCATCCCAACACATCTGTCAGAGACTTAGGAGTTCTCTCACGACATGATTTAAGATCACTAGAAAATACAGAGAAATTGTACCGTGCGGGACTTCGTATGCTCTGGGCATTACGACGCAGTTTCTCCACATGGTCCGAAGAAACCGTCCCTCGTCTATTCACCTCGCTCATTAGACCAATCCTTGAATACGGTGCCCCAGCTTACCATCCGATAACCCAGTGGGAAACTGAAAAATTGGAGAAAATACAGCATATCGCAACTAGAATGATACCAAGTCTACGAAAGCTTCCATATGAAAAACGTTGTGAAAAGCTCGGACTCTACACACTATCCTATCGCCGAGTAAGAATTGATCTTATTATGACCCATCGAGTACTACACTTGAATCACTTCCCCATACTACGGCCAATATTTCACCTGCGAGAACCCTGTAACACCCGAGGACATCGTTACAAACTCAGGGTCCCCAGCATGAACAAAGTATCACATCAGCTTTGTATCGAACGAAGAATCGTAAACTTATGGAATACACTACCAGAAGGATTAATAGAGGCCGATTCTGTGAAGTGTTTTAAAACCCGTATCGACGATTATTTTGGAAACCTGTGCTTTTGTGAAACGATGCACATACAGTGCCAAAAGAATACATTGTATGTCCGGAAATAATGACGCTAGTACAAATTTCTAACCGAACACGGATAAACGATCAACAGACCAGACACAACTGCTGATAATTCACAAGTAAATTTTGATTTTTCGTAATTCGATAGAGTTGTACAGAAACCTTTCTACTTGCTCTTAAATACAGTCTCAGTCTCAGTCTCTTCCCTGCTAAGTTAGCTTTCGCCCACCTTAAGCCATGTGCCATCCTTGTCACATACGCGAATGACTTCGATCCGTTTACTTCAGCCGTGCGCGGATTGGTTACCACTCACACCAGCCAGCCAATCTTCTGACACTCGCCCTCGGTCTCGCGGCGCGAGTTTCCGTGAATCTTATACCTTCTCAATCATATGATAAACCTCCTGCTGTTCAGACGTCTTCTGCTTGCTTGGATTACGTGTCTCGGAAGCGTGCGTTACATGCTTAGTGGTATTACGTTTTAGTGGCGACGGAGGTGGGAGGAACTCATTTACTAACTACGTGGAATTACTTCCTGTACTGAATCCGACCGTTTGTCTTTCTGAGGCTCACAAAATCACACTATTCAGGCAAGTGCTTGGCGATGAAGGTCAACGGCACTACGATGCCCTACAACTGGAAAACTATACCATCGTCAGTTCTGCTTTGGATACTTATACCACGTTATGGGGGCTGAAACAAAATGTTTACACCGCTAGATACTGCTTTTCAAAACTTGTCCAAAAGCCGATCAAAAGTGTCAAGGATTTTCTTGCACATATTCATCAATCTATTCCTGATTGTAAGTATAATGATATTCCAACTGAAGAGCAAATGAATATTCAGTGTTTGATTGCAGGAATACCGGACGAAAGTGCTAGAGAGAAGTTGTTATCCTTGGATGAGTCTGCCGCCACGTGGGAAAACGTTTGTCTCATCGTTCGCCATCGAGAGGACATTACACACCAATTACGCGAGTTCACTGGTCGTCCGGTAGTTGATGATGTGCACGCGGTCCGCAAATCAGACACCAGTGAACATCGAACACAATTTATGTGTTATCGTTGCGGTTTGCGGCACTCTGACCCTTCCGATTGCCGGCACAAAGAAAGTATCTGTCGGAAATGCGGCAAGCTAATCCATCTAGCACGCGTCTGTAGATCGGAAAGTTCCCGTCCCATGAACATCGCTTCATCAGATCGTCAAAGCAAGATAGAGCTACGGGAAGATAAGGTCCTAGAAAATTTGAACAGTGAGCTTAACTCCGTGTATTTGAACAGTGTGACACTCAACAACTGTCCTCCTTACACACTACGTTTGACGATAGAGGATGAACCGATAGACATGGAGCTAGATACTGGGGCGTCGGTCACCATTGTAAACCGCGGTTCAATGAAAAAGCTACCACCTTTGCAACCGTGCAACTCGAGATTACAGACGTACACCGGTGACCTAATTCACGTGTTAGGCAGATGTTTCGTTAAAGCCAGGCAGGGGAGCGAGAATTCACCCTGCCCTTAATCGTTGTACCTGGGAACAAACCGAACCTCATGGGTCGAGACTGGATACAGTTCTTTCCCGAGACCATGCAACTCAACCAACTCACTACTGAAGACGGCAGTTTGAATGGATTATTGAACCAGTTCTCATCGTTGTTTGAAAACAAATTGGGAAAATGCGTCATTTCAAGGCTTCTATCAAACTCCGATAGGGTGCCGAACCAAAACGTTACAAAGCTAGATCATTATCTTATGCAATGCGCCCTAAATTTGAGGTAGCGATACAACGTCTGCAATCAGAAGGAGTCAGTCCCGGTGCAACATTCAGATTGGGGCACTCCGATAGTACCTGTACTCAAACCTGACGGCTCCGTCCGTATTTGCGGAGACTACAAATTGACAGTCAACCAAGCGAAGAAAGTGGAAAAATAACCCTTATCACGTATTGAAGACTTGTGCGCGACTTTAGCCGACGGCCAAAAGTTTTCCAAGCTGCATCTCAGTCACGCATACTTTCAGGCCGACCTTGCTGATGAGTCACAGGAACTGACCACAATAACTACTCCCCTATGACTAGTTCAGCACACGCGCCTCCCGTTTGGAATAAATTCAGCACCCAGCATTTTCCAACGGACCGTGGATAATATAGTTAAAGATATACCGTTCACCTGTGCATACTTGGACGATATCCTTGTTACTGGTCGCAATGACCCTGATCATCTAAACACATTGTGAACTGTTCTCGAGCGTCTGGAAGAGTGTGGGTTGAAAGTATAAAAGTCCAAATGTGAGTTCTTATCAGATGCCGTTTGTTACCTTGGTTACAAACTGTACAAATCCGGTTTGCATGTCCTTCAAGATAAAATAGTGCCTATTGTGCAGACAACTCAGCCCAAGAATAGTGATGAACTACGATCATTTCTAGGAATGTTGTCTCACTATCATCGTTTCCTACCGGATGCCTCAATCATTCTTGCTCCATTGAACGAACTGTTACACAAAAACATCCCGTGGATGTGGAAAAGTGAGAATCAATCTGCTTTTACTTGTGCAAAGAAGTGTCTTGTTTCCGCACTTGTTTTGGTCCATTACGATAGTGAAAAACCGTTAATCTAACAGTGTGATGCCTCTCCATACGCAGTCGGAGCAGTTCTATGCCACAAAACGTCTACTGGTGTCATTCACCCAATTGCATTTGCTTCACGAACTTTACAACCCGCCGGAAAGAATTACTCCAAGCTGGATAAAGAAGCCACTTCAGTTATATTTGGCGTCAAGAGGTTTCACCAGTACATTTGGGGCAAATATCTCGAAATACAAACTGACTACAAACAACTGATATCGTTGCTGAGCGAATCAAAGGGCATGGAGCAGATGCTTTTACCGAGAATGCAACGTTGGTCATTAATATTAAGTGCATATAAATATCGAATCTCCTATATTCCTGGGTTGAATAATCATACAGAGGATGCATTAAGCAGGTTACCACATGCGACCCCAGACGAAATACTGGAGGATCCAGTAGAGCTTGTAAATCTAATGCAACACCTCGACACCACTCCATTGACAGGTGACACCATACGTCAGTGGATCGATCGTGACCCAACGCTATATTCTGTAGTGTGATGTACAAAAACCGGCTGGCCTATTACAGTGCCCGTCGATCTTAAACCTTACGGACAACGGAAAAATGAATTGAGACTACACGATGGATGCTTGTTTTGGGGATCCCGCCTGATTCCACCGCTAAAGGCACGGCCATTCATCCTAAACGAACTCCACAACGCACATCCAGGCGTAACCCGAATGAACGCCTTGGCACGCGGTTATTGCTGGTGGCCTGGCCTAGATTCAGAAAGGAGAACTATCTAAAAAACATGTGATTTGTGTCAGTAGTATCAGTCAAATAAACCCGGTCCGATATACCATTGGTATTGGCCTGAAAAGCCATGGCAGCGCATTCATGCAGACTAATTTGGACCCATAAATAGGGTATTTTTCCTGCTGCTAATAGACGCTCATTCGAAATGGTTAGATGTTTATCCCGTTTCCCACCCTACTACAGAGACAACTATCTCCAAAATGCGATCGTCATTTGCAATATTTGGGATACCGGAGAAACTGTGCACAGAAAATGGGCCATGTTTCACTAGCAAAGAATTTGAAATCTTCATGAATAGCTATGGTGTCCAGCATGTCCGTACAGCTCCATATCACCCTGCTTCTAATGGGCTAGCGGAAAGTCAGTGCAGACAATTAAAAGAGGTCTCTCAAAACAAGCACCAGGAGCAGTTCAGACGAGGTTAGATCGCTTGCTGTTTGCTTACAGGATAACGCCAACGGAAGCCACTGGTAAATCACCTGCGGAGATGATGTTTGGCCGAACACTCCGCATCAGATTTGATCTTCTGTTTCCAAATCATAGAGCACAAATGGAGAGGAAACAAGACAAGGCTGCCACATCGCAAGATGACCACGACTCTAGTTGGCAGCCGGGTGATCCCGTATACACACGACTTCCCCATGAGCGCTGCTGGCAACCCGCAACTGTAATTAAAGGTGACTGTACCCAAACAGATCTCGAAGTAAATGATCGGATAGTACGGCAACACTCAGACCATATACGCTCACGTTTTGTCGGGATAACAGCAGATGAACGTCTGGGTGAATCAGCATCCGTTCAGCCGGAAACAGAAGCAACCACCCAAGATTCCGCACAATCGTCAGATGCACCATCGCTTCGTAGATCTCGGCGTACGCATAAACCCGTTGACCGTTTCGTGCCAGGAGTATAAAAATTTCAAGAGATGAGGGGATGTCACGTACGCGAATGACTTCGATCCGTTTACTTCAGCCGTGCGCGGATTGGTTACCACTCACACCAGCCAGCCAATCTTCTGACACACGCCCCCGGTCTCGCGGCGCGAGTTTCCGTGAATCTTATACCTTCTCAATCGTTTGATAAACCTCCTGCTGTTCAGACGTCTTCTGCTTGCTTGGATTACGTGTCTCGGAAGCGTGCGTTACATGCTTAGTGGTACTACGTTTTAATCCTACATCTAGCAAACAAAACAAGGCCCTCCTCGGTAAGCGCTGACCATGCACACGTGGTCAGTGCTCAAACCAATGCAACATATTCAGTGCTACCTGGTGTTCTAAGGAATTGGCATGATTATTACTGCTAAACGGTCGCCTGCGCACATCAACGTTGCAGACACACTGGTACCATCGATAGCAGCAATGTTCCGCCAGCAGCGGTGCCCGGAGACTTGAAGTTGCTTCAGCTCCTAATACCTAATGGGCCAAGTCTCACTACCATGGAGTAGGACGTTCCTTGCTGTGGCCTTGTGAGCACGGCCATTCAGGTCGATGGAAACTCACTTCTGACGCCACAGATGTTGCAGATTAAATGAGTTAGTTCTAGTTTCTGCAATACGTGAATTTAAAGCATCGTGTTCCATGTATCAGTCTGAACAAAACAATGCGAAGACGAGCACTGCAATATGGCACCATTTCGTGTTATCTGATCACTTGCAAACTAACAACATATGTAGATCACGTAAGGGAAGGAAACGATCGTTTTGAATTGGTCAGAAAAATTGCACAAAAATACAAAACAATAGCTGGTAGTGCTGGGGCAATGGTTATGAACCCAAAGGAAGCTTAAGGGCTACTGTCAGTAGCTATTGCACACAAAGTTCTGGTAGCCTCCTCCAAATAGGAGTTAGCGACTCGCTTCAAATTCGCGTTAGTAGGTCTCAGTTGGTTCCGACGTCAGTGGCTATGCAACCATCTATAGTGTTGCTGCAGCGCGGGAAACTAGACGGATCAACTATCTCGAGGTCCTAGCTATCAAAGGTCTTCAAGGTGAACAAGTAGCTGATAGTCCTGCAACAACACCTCGCAATTTGAAGACGCGAATCGCATACCAAATGATGGGACCTTACTAGAGAAGTTATTCAGGATTAACTGAACCACTCCAACACTATTGTGCAGCAAGATAGTACCGTCCGCATAATCAAGATCAACTAGATCTTCACCAGCTAGTACTTAATGCCTTATTACTTCCGTCGATGACATCGATTAGTTAGCTCAGCCACACCGCGTTCTCATTGGTTTGCCTCGCACTAACCAATCATTAGCTCTTCGCGTCATGCTCTAACTCGTGTCATGGGATAAATGAGTGAGTTTTGGTTGGATACAATCTGATTCGTACTGTTGTCTTGTACTGTCTGTAGGCGAACCGTTTAACGGGAATACCAAATCACTTAAAGATTAATTTCACATCACCTGAAGAGATCCTGATTCGCTTCAGCGTCTGACGACGTTAGATGCCAAGCTATGCCGAAGTATGCGCACGAATCTTCAGCCAATGGCTCAGTCAACCAGCAGAGCTCAAATTCACAACCATCCGATGGCAACCAAGGGAGAATGACGCGAAGATGAGCTTGGACTCGTGGTTGTGTATGTGGTTAATTAAAACAACACTGTACATGCACTTCAGCGAAATGTGGAAGTGTAAAAATAAAAGTATGCAAATTGCTTGCAATTCCTCCAACGATCTGAGGGCGTGCTTTGCTTCACTTCGTTATTACGGACTATTGGTGACGGGACAAAATGAACCCTATTATTAATCCACCTACTAACTTGTGGTCTACCGCTGAGGATAAACAAGCCTTATCAAACTGAATGAGGTAGACGCAATCATGTAGTAACTACTTGGAACTACTGTCTGTTTCAACTCCCATGATTTCACTTTCGGAGTCTTACAAAATAAGACTATTCAGGCAGCTACTGGAGGATGAAGTCTAACGAGCTTATGATGCACATTTGGAAAATTGTGACACTATTCCCTCTGTTTTGGATAACTACACCACACTGTGAGAATTAAAACAGAATGCTTATGCTGCGAGACACTGCTGTTCAGAGCTTGTATAGTGTCACGTATGCTGTTGAGTATTGATTCGTACACCCAGTCGTTCACATGAGTGGTTGATACTGACCTAGCCTTACTTTTCTTATTTTATTGGTTTTCGTTTCGGCATTTCTAGCCACTGTATTGTAGGAAGCTTTGATTAAACGGTTTCGTAGTACGCCTGCGCGTTTCGCTCCGTCTATCGGCTAATGGACATGCTGGCGACGAGGTTAAACTACCGCGATGTAACACCCACCTACAATACTTTGGAATACTCATTCTGAGAAACCAACACCGGCTACCTGGAACCGCGGTCTGCGGGACGTGTTGTGATGGTAGCATCAGAGCATAGTGAGCAGATGGACCAACCGAGGAAGCCAGACAGCCAATGGGAGGCGGACGTGACGGAATCGATTAATGGACTTGGATTGGCCGGTATTCGTGTGAGTGATTCACCGTTTGTTTACCTGAAGCAAAAGAGGAACCTCATCGTCGACTCAGAAGGGTTGCTAGTTAAGCACTTGAACCTGCAATTTATACCGAGGAGTTTGACTTGCTAAAAATGCTGTAGTTTTCACTGAACTGTCTTTGCCGAATGAACGCTTGTCCCTGTAGGACTGAGTCTTGCAATACGTGTAACGTTGTTCTTACACCTGCTGCTGTTCGAATATGTGGTCTACACAACCCCGTTCTGGGCGGACGCCTCTTTACTCCTCACTAATCTTGGATGCCCTTCCGGGAGTTAGGCGACTAAACAGAATCGAGGCTAGTAATATTTTCATCACCGGTCTTAAGCTACTATCCCTGTGGTTAGCATAGTCGGTGCGACTACTCTTCTTGTGTGTTGCCACTACGATCGGTTCACTCCAGTTAGCTGGCACGGTCTCTTCCTTTTAGACGTGAGCGAACAGGGAGGCCAATATTTTGCAACTGACCTCACCACCGCATTTAGTTAGTGTGAGTGAGAGGGAATCCGGGCCAAGAGATCAAAACCGATTAATGGCTGTGATCGCGTTTTTGGCTCAGCCTCCGATAGAGCCACTAAATTAACCGACTATGACTCAGCGTGCACTACCTGAGTAGGAAGAAGTCCAGGAGCTTGGGGCAAACTGAATCGCTCTCGAATGTGCTCCGCCCAACGAGCTGTAGGGTGTAAGTTATTGTGAATTGGGTCACCCGCGTTACCTCACTGGCGCCTAGTTTCTTGGGACAACTGGTTCGGATCAGTTACAATAGCTTGCCATGTACCCCATAGACGCACTCAGAAAACAAACCCGCATCCACGCACACTCGCTTATCCGGGAAAACCAAAGGCTTTAGCGTTTCAGGTTGCACGAAGCCAAATCAAACGGGTCCGACAGACAAAGTTTGCTCGGCAAGTTCCCTGTTATCGGTTTGGTCATTTAGGATTGTTTCTTTTTCCTTTGAAAATCCCCACTCACCTCCTGCGGAACATGTCAAACTTCGGCTTCTGTAGCTGCAATATACGGTCAAGCATTGCGCATTGCTTATTGAGGATGATACGGGTGTCAGTTATCTCGGGTCACTTCCGCACGTGAACATCCGTAGTATATCATTCCACTATAGGTTACAGAAACTTCTGAAGCAGATCCACCGTTAGTTTAGCTGTTAGACTGATTTTCCGGCCTAATGTTTAGACGAGCATATATACCCTAGACCAGCAACGATCACACCAAATTATGCGGGGATTCTTGAACTCTTTCGACTACTGACATCCATCGCTGGGTCTCAAAATTTCTCGTCAGTGATCAAATTGTCATCGCAGCGACGATCTGACGAACTAGACAAAAGCAGTGGAATCAACGAAGATTAAAAGTGAGCAAAATTATTCTGGAGCGATGTCTCTTCCAGTTTATTCAACAAGGTGGAAAGCTGGGTCACCCATGGGAGAGGAAGACCATTAATATCACAACAGGGAATCACCTTGGAGCAAAACGAAGTGAAGACAGAAGAGGCTGACGTCAACCGCCTTTCGTCAATCTCCCTAACACGGAAGAAACCAATAAGGATGGGGTTCGCTTCTTCGTCTCTAACACTAATTTACACGCGATGTATTCTTCTTGGACTAAAGCGCTTAATTTTATTTCTTTCGCCCCTATATCTGATTATAAAAGCCTGCAGTGAAATCACTTATGGTCTCGTGTTCTCAAAATAACTTGCTTCCTGCCGCGCAACGACAGCCTCAGGATCGCTGTTGAGACTAATGTGGGCGGACTCTCGTTCAGTTGAATTGCCTACACGTCCCCTGAGTGTAGTCACCTGTGAGCTTTGGCTGTGCTTCAGAAGAAAACCACGCAACTCGATTTGGTAGTGGTATGGTTAACTTAGGCCATCCACCTGCATCCATAAGGGCTAGGTTAGATACTGCCTAGGTACGCATTGAGCCTCTGCGTCTCTTCATCGACAAGACCAGTCCGGTTATATTCTACCTGCTGGTGCAATTCGATACAATTGTTACCCCGGTATGTGGATAGAAGTTGGGTTGCTCTTTACGTTGCACAGATCCAGGAGCCCTACTTCACCCAAAAACATTTGCTTTACGTAGTGTGAATCACAGAATGCACAGTTCCGGAGCCAATGGGGAAATGAGGCACTCAAGCAAAAGCTTGTTAAACGGGATCCGCCCGAACGATGTATTCCCCAGGATAGATTTATATAGATTTTGTGTACGTGTAGAGAAGTGCGAGCTCATCATTCCCAGTATCACCTACCTTGGATCTGTTATCAACAGTCCCGGTCGTCAGCCAGACCCGAACAAACTAACAGCCATCAAGATAATGCCACATCCCACGAATAGTGCTCCTTTGCGGTCTTTCTTGGGTCTAGTTAACAATTATCACAACTTTCTTCCTCAGATGCACGAACTACGAGTCCACAGTAAATGCACTTTCGGCGAACGAGTCAGTGTGGCATTGGTCATCGCACGGTCAGGAAACCGTTGATGACATTAAACAAATATTGTCGTCCGACCTCCGTTTAACGAATTACGACCCAGGATTACCAATAATTGTCGCTGTTGATGCATCGCAAAACGGTATCGGTGGTGTCTTGCTACATCAGTTCCCAAATGGACTGTAAAGTCTGTGAGGCATGCTTCCCGCACGTTGACAGCAGCAGAAAAGAACTACAGTCAAATAGAGAAAGAAGCATTAGCTCTCATTTTGCGGTTGATAAGTTTCATAAGATGGTACATGGACACAAATTTACTCTTTACACAGACCAGAAACGCTTGCCATCTATTTTTGGCACCAAACGAGGAATCTCCGTTCATACGGCGAACAGATTACAGCGTTGGGCAACCACCATATTAGCATACAATTTCGATTTGCGTTTTAAAGGTACCTCTTCGCTTGGTCATGCTGACACAGTATCCAGACTAATTGCCGACCGCAAGTCCATAACACCAGATGAAGACAATGTTGTGTCCAGCATTACCTTAGATCCCGAGATTATACCAGTATTCCAAGCATCCATACGTCAACTTCCAGTAACCGCAAACCCATCGCAATGAGGCTGGACCTTACCGTGGTGCGATGGTTTGTGTGCCTCCATTGAGCTATACTGGGTGGTGCTTTTGCACCTTCAGAGCCACTCATACCAGATTGGTCAATGGTTAGAGGCCAGACAAACTCAGCCTCCTGGTCCTCCAGGTTGGGGGGTTGGAATGAGGGTGGCACCTTATTCCTTAAAACTGACTCCTTGTAGTCCAGTGCCAAACCCGCTGCCTTGCGGTCAGGTTTTTGAACCAAAGGTTTTGGTTGAGAACCCTAATCGTTCTCCCGTCTAGGCCTGGGCAACCTGACAGTATCCTGCCCACGCAATACAATGAACCCTTCCCCAAACAAATTTCTGATGCTCTGGCCACCGCATAGGATAATCAACGGTGCCCTATCTGCTGCATCGAGCAGGGTGGATAGGGTTTTGGATGCTACTGCTCAAGACTTCCCATCTTCTTATTCCTCTTCTTGCGCTTTTTCACCCTTATCGTCCCCTCCCAGCTTTACTTTTATCCCCCCTGTTTTCAACCCCAATTATCAGACCTCCCCATCTTGCTTCAGTAGTCGCTCGTCCTTTAGTTTCAACTCACAGCTGAACGCAGAGCGTCATTCCTGCACTGTCAACAGGCCCAAGTCCAAGCAAGCGGCCCATTCCAGTTCATCGGCTTCCATTTGGAGCCCTCGATCCTCCTTCAGACTGGCATGCCTCAATGTTCGCACGTTGCTTCAGCTCGGTCAACAGGCAGTACTTGCCTGAACATTGGAGACCCTCTCGATCGATATCTGCTGCTTACGGAGACCCGCCTGCAAGACTCGAGCTCTGTGCTCACTCTGCAATCTCCTTCAGGTGACGCAAGCAGCACTTTCTCATTGCGCCTATCCGGTGACAATGCAGCTTCGAGCACCGGCCAAGCCGGTGTTGGTATTGCCCTGAGTCCCCGGGCTGAAGCTGCTCTGGTTGATTGGATTCCAATCAGTAGCCGGATGTGTGCGGTCCGATTGGCTGGCTCGTTCAAAACTTCGAAGTCACGTGGGACTAACAGGTGTCTATTCGTTATCGCTGCCTATGCACCGACAAACTGTAGTGATGACTCGATAAAAGACGACTTCTATCGCCAACTGAACGAACTCCTTTGCCACAGAAGAAGCTCGGACACTGTAGTGCTGGCTGGGGATCTGAAAGCTCAAGTTGGAAAATTATCCACAGATGAGCTGCATCTGGGCGGCCATCATGGTATAGGCTCCCGTAATGATAACGGTGAGCAGGTACTCCATTTGTGTGAGGATGCTTGCTTATTTCTTGCGAGCATTAATTTCCGACACAGCACCCGCCGGAGGGTGACTTGGCGCCCACCAGCCTCAAACAGTTTGGACACAGATCGATCACATTGCCATCAGTTACCGCTGGAGAGGCTGCATCCAGAATTGTCGC